CCCCCACCCACAGCCCCAGGGTTCAGGGCTCCCTCTGCTGGCTCCTGCAGGTGAGGGTCAGATGAGGGACCCTGAGGGGGCGGGGTATGTGGGAAAAGTAGAGAAGCTGGCTGTGAGACCTTTCAGAAGAGGCTGGGCATCAGAATGGTCTGCGATCCCCTTGGCCTCAATAATCCACCCAGAAGTGCCCACTGGGGAAGGAGGGTGGGAGTCCTGGAGAGTCCTCTGGCCCATGGGCAGGGCTGGTAGAAGAGGAGACACGTGGACCCAGCCTGAGATGTGCAAGTTGGAGAAAAGAGAGTTCTCAGGAGTCCACAAATATCGCCTGCACTCCTACTGTTTGCCCTGCTCTGTGTGGGCCAAGAGATGAAAAAGGGTGTGAATGGCAAAACAAAAGTCATTTGTGGAAGCCCACTCTCTGGACGGGCTCTTTTCATATGCCACCTTGGAAGTAGGCAGGTGTTATTATTTGCTTCCATTTCACAGTTGCAGAAACAGGCTCAGAAGGTTAAGTCTCATCAGTTATTCAGCAAACACTAAATGCCAGCTTCACATGCTAAGGATTTGCTCTGCGTTGTAGAACAAGCCAGCAGCAGAGCCCAGATCCAAATCCATGTCTGCTGGGTCCCTAGAGTCCTGAGTGTGCTCTGCTACTGACATGATGCTTCCTCATGAGATCTTTGCCTTCAATGACTTTCCAGTCTAATTGGAGAGATAGACAAGAAAACATGACAAAACAATTATGCCACTGGCAGGATAACAAGCACCGCCCCCCCCATGAGTGACAGGTAGAATGGTGTAGAGGGAGAAGGTCAGTGGGGCCTGGGGCCCAGAGGCAGCACCATAAGGCAAGGGGGAATCTAAGGCAAGCTTGGAGAGGTGCTGGGTAAGATTTTGATGACTTAGAGTGTAGAGAGGATCTGGCTCTGAGTCCAGCAATTTAGCGGGATAACCTGGGATGACTGCAGAGTTAGCCAACCCTGCCAGGAGTAAGGGCTGTGTGGAAGATGGCAGGTGAGGCCACCTAATGTCTTCTGATACCTCTGGTGACCATTTTCATCTGGCCTTTTGGTGTTTAAAATAGCTAAGTTTCTTGTGATGGGACCCCTCCACTGAGTGGCCAGCATTGGTCACCTCCCTTCTCAGATTGTTCATCTGTACAAGGGGGGTCAGGTTGGTGGAGCTGGACTGCATGATTCCTGGTGTTCTCTTAGGCCCTGTGACTCTGGAAAAGGAAAGGTAGGTTGGGCCAGAACCTGGGCCCTCCAGGGCAGGATCTACAGATGTTGCCCTGGGAGGAAGATCTTGATGCAGGCCAAGCCAGTTAGAATGGCTAACCCTAACCCTAGGCTTGTCCCTTCTTGTCTGCATACTGATTTCTTTTAAAACTAGCTTCATTGTTTTTATGCCCAGGAATGTCTTCTTGATTAGGATCTCAGACCCTACATATTCTATATTACATATTTCTTACCACCATTGTGCTCCAGTGCCCAAAGCATGCAGATGTTCCCAAAAGGGTACAGCTTCTGTGGGCTGATCCCAGGACAGTGCTGACTCAGAGGCACCAACAGCAGAGTTCATTCCCTAAGGAAGCAGAAGGGAAGGAAGGAGGGTGAAGGAAGAGGAGAGATGGGGGAGTTATTTTTTGATGTGGAGTCAAGTGTTAAGGTTAGAGGGGGTATGCAAGCCTTTCATGCTAACTCCTCATGTTTCTGAAACCCAGAGAGGGAACTGATTTGCCCAGAGTGGCTCAGCTCACCCAGAGCTGACAAAGACCAGGGTACTGAAGTGAGGCTCAGTGTTTTGCCCAATGCCCCCCTGCCACTCATTTTCTGGAGTCCCCTTTCCTGAGACTTGAGGATGAGAGTGAGGACAGGAGGGCAGGGAGCAAACTGGTCCCTTGGGATTCTGGCTGCTACTACTGCCCATCCCTTCCCCTGACCAGCTTGTAAACAAGTCTAGTTCCCAGGCAGCCAGGAATCCTTCTGAGTCCTCTATCTCTAGCCCCTGGGAAACAGATAAAGTCAAGAGATTTTTGCTTTGCTCCCCTGCATACCCCCTCCCTGTCCTGGGGCAGAAGGAGGGAGAGGATAGGGATGGGGCAGAGTAACCTTGGGAAGATAAGGCCAGTCGACCTTGGGAAAGTAGGGAGTTAGCAGAAGGCAGGGTTGGGGAGGGGACTGGGGAACTTAATAACATGGGGGGGGTGTTGATTGTGCAGAACCCCAGACTCCTAGGTGGAGTCCTGGACATGTGGGTAGCAGGAGAGGACCTGGACAGCCTAGGGAGGCCTGCTTCCCTGCCTCTGAATCCAGTGGGAGAAATAAAATGTTTATGGAAAGTAAACAGGAGTCGTGAAATGACATGTGGACAGGGGCTGGGCTCAAGTGAGGATCTTCTCCTTAGATGACTCATTTGTTCATTCAAAAACATGTATTATAATGGTATTCATTGTAGTATCATAGTAATTGTTCATAATATGCAAAATTTTCATAAAAATTGAAGGGAAATATGAATTAAGCACCTAAAAACCTGCCTAGGAGACAAAAGAAAATGAAGGTCCTCGCTCTCAACTTGCCTATAGTCTTATCTACTGACCCCATGTAACCAGGCCAGAAGCTGCCTCATATTATTTTTGTAATGAGGTGAAATATATGGGTAGAGGTGGGGATAGATAGATAGATAGATAGATAGATAGATAGATAGATACCAACTCTTGAAGGTCACAGGGCCACTGGGAGGCAGCTTGGCTGACCTATGCTTGGCCTACTCCCCACTGCTCCATCCTCACTTCTCCGGGCTGGGGAAGGGTTGGGGCTGGGCCCTCCCAGGCTACAGTTGGAATGCAGTGATGGCAGGTCCTAAGCATGGAGGAGGGAAGGTCTGGACCAGCGATTTTAACCTTTTTCATCTCGTGGCACATAAACTAACTACTAAAATTCTGCAGCACACCAAAAATTTGCCAATCCAAAGAAAGGAAAAAAAAAAAAGTCTAATTCTGATTCAGTCACACCGGATGGCTATTGTTGGGTTGGCTGGTGTCATTTTTTGTTTGACAATCTAAGGAAAAACAGGTCAGTGCCCCTGGCTCAATAGTCAGGTATTGCATACTTTAAAGATTCTTGCAGCACACGGCTGAAAATCGCTGGTCTGCTTGGACAGGGGTGATAACTATGACCTGTAGGATGGTGGAGGTGGTGGTGGTGGTGGTGGTGGTGTGAGTGTGTGGTAGGAGACCTTAAAGGGCTGAGCTTATACATCTTCCTGCAGCACCTCTTCAAGCATCTCACTCCTCAGCCTTAAGTTCTACCTTAAGACCTACATTCCCCTTGCTGCTATTTAAGCCCATTACATTTCATTGTTGTTGGGCCAGAACATGCCTGCGAAGCCTGTACTTGTGGAGCAAACGGGGACAGTGGGGGTGGATGTGCACTAAAGCTAAACTGGAAAGAGGCCACCTTAACCTTTGGCACCGATCTACCACCATTTTCCTCCACATTTTCTATCTCCTGGTGCCACTTCTCTCTCCCCGCCCAGAGGCTTTTTCTGCCCTCTGCTGAAGGGTTTCTGAGTGGTCTCAAATTACCCTCAGCTCCAAGTGCTCAACTCACTCATTCCCACAAGGCAGGGATGCCAGTTAAGCATTCAAATAAGAGCAATCTGATGAAAGCCCTTCCACCCAGGTGTGAACACCCAGCCAAATTAACCTTCACGGGCCTGGTATGGGAACCAAATGGTAGCTCTCTTGTCAGAATGAAGGCTGGGAATGGAGGGATTTCTGAAATTGTATGGAACTTCCCATGAGGTCTTTAGCCACCCTCTCAGTGTTCCCCTTCTCCAATCAGTTATGTCACCCCAATGAACAGGGCTTGGCTTGCTGCCATCCTGCTCTGGAAAGGCCACAGTTCCTAGAGCAGGAAAAGGGTCACTGTTATCTGCTTTGCAGTGCTTCAGAGCCTCAGTCTCCAGCTCCTTCTCCTGCTCTCCAGTTCAGTGAAACAGAATCTCAGGGTAGGAGGGCCCACCTTAGAGATCAAAGCCCATCTTCCCATTTTACAGAAGGAGAAACTTGGGCTAGAGAGGGAGTGTGACTTTCCTCAGAGGCTCCATTCCCCAGACATTCTAACATCTAATGGCTTTCTATATCCCTTGGAATTGCCCAGGCTTTTCTAGCATCAGGGCTATTCAGCTGACACATAGCCAGCTTGTGGTCCACTAAGACCAGATCTTTTTCTAAAGATCTTTAGTATCTATACATAATTTCTTTTCTTTGACGACCTTCTTGATGTTCCTTCTGTTAATTTCTTCCCTGTCTCCCTTTGGGCTAGGCCTGTTGAATTTCAGTCTTGGCCTACCTGGTGCCAGCTGCCTTCACCTTGAGCCAAAATCATATAAGGATTTATTAATAAAGATGTGCATGGAGGGATAATTCTTACTCTATAGTGATTTCAGTCTAGGCTCTAGTTAAAAGGGAAAGCAGACATGGATGAAATGGTAAGAGAACCAGAGAGAAGGATCTCAGTCTTAGCTGGTGATGGTGGGAGGCACATCTGAGCTTCTGGCTGTGGGCTGAGCGGGGTGGGGGACGGGTTTCCCTCTCTGCCATCCCCAACCCTTCGAGTTACACCCCTGACCTGCTGTGTTTTGCTTCCCAGGGCAGTGGGCAGCCCCTTGGTCATGGACCCTACGAGCATCTGCAGGAAGGCCCGGAGGCTGGCAGGGCGGCAGGCTGAGCTGTGCCAGGAGGAGCCGGAAGTGGTGGCTGAGTTAGCACGGGGTGCCCGGCTTGGGGTCCGAGAGTGCCAGTTCCAGTTCCGCTTCCGCCGCTGGAACTGCTCCAGCCACAGCAAGGCCTTTGGGCGCATCCTGCAGCAGGGTCAGTGCGGGGAGGGGACCTGGGGCTCAGGGGAGAGGGTGGAGGTTTGGGGAGGCTGCCTGGGCCCCACCTCTCCCACGGATCTTTGGGAACTCTGCCCTGACCCTGTCTTCCAGCCCCACCCAGCCCCAGGCCTCACTGGCCCGCCCACCGCAGTCCCCCGGGACTCAGCCTCGGTGCTGCGCTGACTGCCCCTCCCTGTCCCCACAGACATCCGGGAGACGGCCTTCGTCTTTGCCATCACGGCTGCGGGCGCCAGCCACGCAGTCACGCAGGCCTGCTCCATGGGCGAGCTGCTGCAGTGTGGCTGCCAGGCGCCCCGCAGGCGGGCCCCCCCGCGACCCCCCGCCCTGCCAGGCACCCTGGGGCCCCCTGGCTTTGTGGGCTCCCCGGAGGGCAGCGCAGTCTGGGAGTGGGGGGGCTGCGGGGACGATGTGGACTTCGGGGATGAGAAGTCCCGGCTGTTCATGGACGCGCGGCACAAGCGGGGGAGCGGAGACATCCGAGCGCTGGTGCAACTTCACAACAACGAGGCCGGCCGGCTGGTGAGTGCGCAGGGAGTGGAAGCGTGTGTGCACCAGCGTGGAGATGCGCGTTTGTCAGTGGGTGCGGGAGAGGTGAGTGCGAGTGTGGGCGGGTGGATGTAGGAGCACATTGTGGAAGTGTGTGAGGAAGTGAGGGTGGAGGAGGCTGTTAATGTGCGGGAGCCACTATGGCCTGGGGGCCAGCGGGGAAGGTTGGCTGGGGGCCTGGATGGGCATGTGGAGGTGAGGTTGCAGGCCTGGAAGATGGACTCACTTGGGAGGCCTGAGGGCCTGGGGCAGGGTAAGGAGAGGTCGCCCAGGGGAGAGGACTCATTCACGGCTTTTAGGGACCCCAGGCAGAGAGAGCATACTTCTGAAACAGGACAGGTGGGTAAAGACTGGGGTGGGTAGAGCTGTGGCTTCAAGGGCAGGGACAAGAGGATGGAGACAAAGGTCAGGGATGAAAGGAAGGACAGAAGCTGGGGCAAAGATATGGGGTCCCGAGGTGGGGGGGCCAGGAGATGTGAGGGAGGCCTGGAAAGGGGCTGGACCAAGGGGCAATGGGCTAGATCCTGATGGAGGCGGGAGAGGGCTCAGGTAGAAACCAGGAAAGCTGTGACTGAGTCTGGGCTCTTGTCAACCGGCTGCCCAGCAACCCTAGAGCAGGCCCTGCCCAGGCCCTGGCAGCTTCTCCCCTTCTCTCTGCAATGAGGAGGCCCCAGGAGCTCCTGTTTAGGGACAAGAGAGCTGTCTGGATCAGATGTTTCCAGGGGGAAGGAGAGAACCTGAGAGGGGGGCTGGACACAAATGTCTGTGGATCAGATTGGCTGCTGGACACTGAGCTTCCAGAGATGATCGTCCTAGGTCATTTGACCCCATACATCTCTAGTGGGGTTTTGACTCTTAGACACAAATAACAAATAAAGGGCAGACTCCTGGGTTCCAGCTCTCAGGAGTGCATCCACAGTGGGCCCTAAGCCTCAGACCTAGGGTGCTCTAGGGGCGTCCCCACACACATTCTGTGTCCTCTGCAGTTTGGGCCTGAGGCATTGGGCAGGGGGTAAGAGGGAGCCCAGAGAGGAATGTCCCGACAGGTCCACATACCTGTCAGAGAGGGCTGGGGAAGGATGGTGGAGACAGACGCCCGAGGAGCGGGCTGTGCACCTCTACTCAGCCCTACCTGGGGCCTTGAGGGTTGGCAGGAGGGAGAAGGTGCGACAGCCACCACCGACGCCTCCCCTGCTCCAGGGAGAATCTCAGCCCTGCTGTCCATTCTACTTTCTCCCATCCCCTGGCTTTGGACCCCGGAGCCTCTGCGCCACATTCTGTCCCCCACTCCCCACTTCTAATTCTCTGTCCTTGTCACTCTTACCCTCCTGGGCTGTCGCTTCCTTGATTTCCTCCTCCCCACTTTGCCCTCTCCTTTGGTGGTGGTGGTGGGGGGGGGTCTGTCTTTCCTCTCTGCCGTCCACTACCCCCGCCCTCATTTTCCGTCTGTCGGTCCTCTGGGCCTTTCCGTGCTCCGCGCTCCTGGTCGGTCTCCATCGGCCTGCTCCTCTGCTCCCTGCAGGCCGTGCGGAGCCACACGCGCACGGAGTGCAAGTGCCACGGACTGTCGGGCTCCTGCGCTCTGCGCACCTGCTGGCAGAAGCTGCCCCCGTTCCGCGAGGTGGGCGCGGAGCTGCTCGAGCGCTTCCACGGCGCCTCGCGTGTCATGGGCACCAACGATGGCAAGGCTCTGCTGCCCGCCGTCCGCAGTCTCAAGCCGCCCAGCCGCGCTGACCTACTCTACGTCGCCGACTCGCCCGACTTCTGCGCCCCCAACCGGCGCACAGGCTCTCCCGGGACGCGCGGCCGCGCCTGCAACAGCAGTGCCCTGGACCTCAGCGGCTGCGACCTGCTGTGCTGTGGCCGCGGGCACCGCCAGGAGAGCGTGCAGCTCGAAGAGAACTGCCTGTGCCGTTTCCACTGGTGCTGCGTAGTGCAGTGCCACCAGTGCCTCGTGCGCAAGGAGCTCAGCCTCTGCCTCTGACCCGCCGCGCGGCTCTCCGAACTGCGCGCAGAACCACCTCTCTGTACCTGCGACCTCTGGGCTCCAGCAGGGGGCGCTGCCCTGGCCCAGCTTACCCTTGCAAAAGTCCATCTCCCAGGCCTCTGGAAACAGGCAGTGAGGCTGGAGATAGACGCACGCCCAGGAAGGCGCAGGGCATCGGAGTGGCCCCCCCCCCGAGGTGCTTTAGGGGGTTCTGGGGGAGACTAGACACTCCAGGGAGTCCTCTAGTTCTCTCTCCTTGGCCCCTAGATGGAAAACAAAGAGCCCTTCTCTAGATCTCTGGATGCGGGGCTCCTCAGAACTGCTGGCCGTGTGTTGGGTGGGTACGTTTAGTATCAATAAAGGTATTTAAACCAATAGGACTGGGCCCACAGTTTGGGAGGGGGGCTGGTCTCCTGCGAGTTGTCATGGGGCCAGACTCTGGAAGGAATGTCTAAAGGGAGATGGTTTTGATAGAACTAGCAATTCAGAGCTCCTCAGTCTGGGTCCCTATCTTCCCTCCTATGGGGCTGAGCTCTCGCAACCATGGTGAAGAGTGCCAAGTCTCCTTGGCATTCTTCTTGCTCACTCTTGTCACACACCTAGGGCCTGGATCTCCAAGCTGGGAAGAGTAGCAATCCCTCTTTAAAGAAGCAGGCTCCTGAGAGGGTCTGGGGGAAGCGGACCGGAAGCCTCTGTTGGTGTACTCAGCTCATTCAGCTCTCATCAAAATTCTAGGGCTGTGGGACACCTTCATCTGCCCTTCTGTTTCTGTGATCCCTGGGGGATTTGTGGGTAGACTTATAGGGCCACCCAAGCCCATAGGATTAAAGCACTTTATGAACTGTAGAATGTGATGAAATATGTTATTAGTAACATCACACTTAACATTGAAACTAACTTCACCCCCATTAACACTGAAAAGACTGCTCAGAACAGCATTTCTAATTACACTTGGAGGGAGGCAAACAAAAGTTGTTCCAAGGTTTCTCCTGGCACACAACTACATTTCCTTCCTTCTGGTTCTTTCTCAGGAAGCTGATGGTGAGTGTGGAGGGAAGAGAGGAAGAGTTTGGGGATCTGGGTTCTCCAGAGCTGAATCTCATGCTCCCCTCTTCCTCCAGGAAGAGCAGGGGAGGGAATAGCCAAAAGGCTGGGATTCACAGCCCCCAATTTTCTCATAGTCCCCATCGAGGTATGTGGGGCAAAGCAAGACCTTTGGGTCTGAAGCTGGTGCTGCTGCTGCTTAGAAGTTTATAGTATAGATCATGTGAGTTTCAGTTTCTTTACCTATATAATGGGAATATCATCCCGTTTCAGTTTCCATTGCTGCATAACAAACAGCCCCACCATAACTACTTCTCATGATCCTTTAGGTGAGGAATTTGTCAAAATTTAGCTTGGTGGTTCTACTCCTTACAGCAGAACTATTGGCTGTGGTCATTCACTTGACTGTACTCCACTGGTGGCTGGGCCAGGCTGGACACTCCAAGAGCCTTCTCTCATATACGTCTAGTGCCTCAGAGCTTCTCCAGTGGCCTCCTTCTTTCCAAGTGCCTAGCTTGAGCTTCCTCACAGCATGGTGGCCTCAGTGTAGTGGGGCTTCTTACACAAGGCTGGCTTTTGAAATAGATTGTGCCAAACTGGGAGGCAGAAGCTGCCAGTCTCTTCAGTTCCAGCCTTGGAAGATGCACAGCATCACTGTCACTCTCTCTTGGTTGACACAAGTCACAGAACCAGCCAAAATTCAAGGGAAGGAGAAATAGATTCCACCTCTCAATGGGAGAGTGGCAAAGGATTTGCAGCCATCGTAATCTACCCCACATTCACATAGAATTGTGGGGAAGATATATTTAAACTATGAAAAGTACTCAGCACAGCATCTGATACAATAATTTATATCAAATTTATGCTTAATAAGTGTTAGTTACTGTGAGAATGGGGATAGAAAGCTGATGTTTTTTGGGGGTGTTTTTTTGTGTGTGCAGGTATCAGGCAGGCCCTGATTGCAAATAAAGATACACAGCTCAAATTAGCTTGGTCCAAAGAAAATTAATTAATGGGTCTTATACCTGGGAAGCCCAGGGGTAAAACTGAATTCAGGCACAAACTGAACCCAGGGCCCCAAAGGATGCCATAAGTCTATTTCCATCCCCACCCCACAGCTATTGTTTCTGCTTATCTCTGCCTCTCTTTTCCTGTTATCTTAATTCTCTCCTGCTGCAGAGATACTTTCTCTAATGGCAGCTCTATGCCTACATTCTTAGAGCTAGTCATCCAAAAAAGAATGGCCTTCCCAGCAGAAGCCCCAAGGAAGAGCCTGATTGGGTCAGCTTGGGTTGCTTGCCTATTTATGAACCAATAACAGTGTCCAGGGAGATGTCCTGCTATGACTGGGATTGACAACCCCACCAATACCACAGGGAGGACAGCAGAGTTCTTCAAATGAAACAGAAGAGGAACTCATCCTGAATGTGACAGACCCTAGCCAAGGCTCCCAGTGCATCTGTCCTACCCCCACAATGCCCCTCCATCCAACATCTATGCCCTAGCCGGGTTCAACTCTCAAGGATCAGGTCGGAGCCCCACATGTAGCATGTGTGGAGAGGAGATATAGGCTGCTGTGGGAAGGAAGGGGCATCTGGGTGTTCCTTCCTATGTCTCCTGGCTCCCTCAGGTCAAATGTCTGGGTTTCAGGGAAGTGTCATGGAAAATTTGGACTCAGAACTTCTCAACCCAAGCGGGTTTGGATAACTTACCAAGGGCGAGAGTAGAACTGGAATTGTGGGACACACGGAGGCAAAATGAAGCTCCCTACAGATAGGGTTTATGTTCACATATTTTTCTTCCCCAGAGCTCTGCCATGGGTACAATTCTTTAAAAATAATCTCCTGGCCCTAGCCAGTTTGGCTCAGTGGTTAGAGTGTCTACCTGCAGACTGAGGGGTCACGGGTTGGATTCTGGTCAAGGGCACGTACTCAGTTGCAGGCTCCATCCCTGATCGTGGTCAGGAGGCAACTAATTGATGTGAGACACATCCACACATAGATGTTTCCGCCTCTGTGTCTCTCGCCCTCCCTTCTGCTCTCTAAAAAATCAATGAAAACATTACCCTCCGGTGACAATTAACAAAAAAATCACCTGTACTTTTCTCAGAGACCACCAGAGGGTGCACAGAGCCCAGTTTCCCTATTAAAAGGGATCAACAGACAACCTGCAAGACATTTGGGGAACTCAAGAGTGGTGGGCAGGAGAGGGTAGGATAAAAGGAAGCAAGGTGACCCACAGACAGCTTGGGTCAAGCTGCTAGGGTTCCAGACTGTCTGGGATGCCTGCCTCTTGTCTTTACTTCCAGGTCCGGGGGTAGGGGTGGTGGTGAGGGTGGAGAGTGTATGGGGTGAGTGATATTGGACATTCTTCTCCATGACGCCAGAGAGGGAAACTGAGGCAGTGGCATGAACTGATACCAACCCAGGCAGGTTAAAAGAAACTCAGAGGAAGTAGCATGATACAGTGAAAAAAAAAGGCCTAGTTTGCTAGCTCGACCTTGATCAAGTCAGTTGATCTCTCTGAGCCTCAGTTTTCCCATCATGAAATGGGGGTGCCTGGTAGCTTGTTAATACATTGCAGGAGTACACTGCACTCTTTAAAGTGCTAGTCACTTGTTAGTGGTCCATCTTCTGTGACCAAGTCCAGCAGGAGCCTGGGAACTGCCATCTGTGAAGGGTGAGAGCAATGGCCAGAGAGGCAGCATTTTGTATCCTGGTCCTCTGTAAGCTCAGAGATGGCTCTGTGCTCTCGCACTGCTGCCTGGGAAGGGGGCTGGAAGCAGGGCTCAGAAATGCCCCATCACACCACCCCCTCTTGCTGACCCAGTTGCTCAGCCCCAGGCACAATCTGAGTCATCAAGGTTTCCTGCTGGTTGAGTGATGGAGGACATGTGGACTCAAGGAGATGCGGGATGATCACAAAGGTGCCCCAGATGTGTGTGTGACCATATCAGGAGCAGTGTGAATACAAGATGGGTGGAGAGGCCGGCTGGAAGGTCCAGGATCAGCCAGAGGCTGAGAGCTCCAGCAACATTTTCCCTTCCCTTCAATGACCAAACAAATTAGTTGTTTGGGAGACTGAAGCAGCAAGTTATGCTCCCTTACCTTGCTGTGACCCAGACAATAGGACAGAGTGCTCCCTATCAGCCTGGGACTCCTTCCCTCTCTTCTTCCCCAAGACAAACTTCTCTAGCAGAGCATCAGGACTGAGGGTCCCACCTGTTCTCACCCTGGTGCCTCCCCAGCTCTCCCTTCCCTGCAACCTCCTCCAGAGCCACCACAGCTGGAACCATTCTCAGAGCTGCCTTTCAGCCCTGGTGCTCTCCCACCCCCAGTGGCCCCTGTAATTGTGGTCTCAGGCTGTGGCTGTGGGGGCTGGACCTGGGCTGAGGGCCAGAGCCCAGGGCAGGACCAGGGGGGGCCTAGGGGCTGCCCATGGTGTGTGGGTCATATGGGGCTGGGGCAGACACTCTTTCTGGGCTTCATCTGCACATGGGCCAAGGCCCTGTGCCCACATATGCCCTTTCCTCCCTGAACTGTGGAGAGGTGCTCCAGGCTTGGGTGCTTCTAAACCCTCATGACATCAGGCCAGAACCACACCCCAGTGCAAACAAGATTTGGGTGTCATTATTTGCCCCCTGGGATTTTCAAAGAAAGGGTCTTTTCCCTCTCCTGTACATGTCTGTGGTTCATGAATAGTAGAGGGTGGAGAGCAAAGAGACCCTCCCTCATTAGAGGGAGGCTGAAAGAAAAAAAATCAGCCATTCAAGCAGATCAGCAGTGTTTCTCAAATGTGGTCCTCACAAAAATCACTTTAGGATACTGGTTAGAAATGTAGACACCCAGGCCTTGTCCCTGGAAAGGATGATTGGGCTGCTTGGGGCTGGAAGCAGTATTTCCCACAATGGCCCACCCCAGGGGATACATATGATGCTTGGATAGTGGGAAATGCTAGTGCGAGCACTAGACAGGGAGTAGGGAGGATTAGGAACCCATTCAGGGGGTCACATTCCTAATTGAGTGTGTTCCTAATCCTTTTTGGGCCTCAGTTTCCCCAACAGCCAATGGGAGCCTGCCTCCCCAGCCTGGCTTGCCCCAGCTGGTGCCCTCCCCCTCCCTGGGTTCATGCCTCCTTCCTGTGTTGAGTCTGGTCCTGCCCTATCCCTCCCCATACCTTCCCAAACTCTAGTCCCAAACTCTGTGCCTGCAGCTTGGTGGGAGAGAGAAGGGAAGGCAGAGGGCAGCTGGGGTCAAACAAGGCTCTGGCTGATGCAGACTGCTTCCTGCCCCCGGCTGTTTTCCTGCTGTCCAGCCAGTCTTCTCCCCCCACCCCCCACAG